GGAATATATAAGCTGTCAACTTCATCTTGTTGATCTGGGTTGAATATCTTTGTGCATTTTTCATACATGTCTTTCTGGTGAATTAGACATTTTCACATCCTCAGACACACTACAGAAGATTGGCTCTAGACTCAGAAGAATCTCTGCTGCTGACACTGAAAATTCTGCTTTGAGAGTCAATGGATTTAATATGTTTTTCAGTGATGGTCAGAATGGAAAAAAATCCAGCAGGTTTGTAAGTTTTTTCCTCTTGATGCTACAAAACAATCTTCTTGTACCAACATAAATGATCTCAATTGATACTTTCTTCTTGTGGAGTTTTGCCATGAGCCTAGGAAACTCAATTAAATTTTCTACGGCTACTCTTTGAGTTTGTTTCTTAACCAGTTACTTTCTCAGAACGAGTTGATCTCCTTCTGCCACTCCAAAGATTTTGAAGCTCTGAAATGCATGCAGTCTCAAGAAGCATAGAATGTTGGTTGTGAAACACATACGATTTTTCAACTCTCATATACTGTTTGTTTTGTAGTTTACTTGTAACATACTTCAACCAAACAGGACAATGATACTAATTCCTCTATCAGGGTTAAAATTAAGGTGTCTATTGACAGATATAAACTCTGTGAAAATCAGCTCATCAGGATCACTAATTTTCCCTTGCTGCCTCTGACATATTTCCTAATGTAGCTACATCTTCTCATGTAAGTTTATTTTTAAGGGAAAGTTCTATCACAATATCCTTTTCATATGCATGAGCATTTGGATTTTTGCTGCTCTGGAATGGAGTATTAATTCTGCATGTCTTCTGGAAGTGACTTATCGTTGTACAAATGTAGCATCATTTCATCATTACTGGGCATTGCCTGTGCCAATGAGGCTTTGTTGTTCTATAACATCCCCATTGACTCTTACTATTGTCACATGTCCCTTTAAAGTGTCTGTACAATTTTAAGTGAACAGACTCTGTTGCTCTTCTGAGGTAAGGTTGTTCTTTCCTCTTAGGGTCCTAAGATGAAGTTAAATTTCTAGAAAATTAAAGTTTCCTTGAACATTAAGAAATCTGTCAAAGACTTATGAATAATTCTAACACCAATTCTGGCTGTTGTGAATTCTGATTTCAAGCTGTACAGTCCCAGTTTTCCACTAAACTATAGTGATCATTAATGAAATTATTGATGGATTCTCCTCATGATGAACTCTTCTTTTAATCTTGCATATTCAAGAATTTTAGTCATTTATGGGTTGAAGGAATTTCCAAAGGCTTTTCAATTTTTTTTTTCAAAAGCATCGGCACATTCTTTAATATTTTGGTGATTCTTAACATCATTTGAAATAGGACCTACTGAGAATAAAAGTGGATTACCTTGTTTAGTTTCAGCTTTAAAGTTTAACTTTGAATTAATTTTGTACCTTAAGAAATGCCTTCTCCAAGATTTGCAATCAAGTGTTCTGCTTGGTCCATCTCTGGCATTGATTTTTTTTTTGTGGAAGTATCATTTTGCCTTCCATTTTGTCTCAATCTGTTTATTTATTCATATACCTTCAAGCTGTTTTAAATCTGTAGCATCTCAATGCTGTTTATAATTTGCTGACTTCAAGTTTGTATTCTTGCATTAAACCAATGCTGTTTAAATGATGTTTTAAAGCTTGTTCAAACTTTTAAACTCAATATTATAATAATGTAGCAACACTTCCTTTATCTGCAAGCTTTTAAATTCCTTATTATTGTAATACTGTATGAAATTCTTCCAATAAAGTTTTAAATTCAGTTAACTAGCAAAACTGTATTGCATTACTTCTTTCAAGTTTTAAATTGCATTTAATATCAATACTCTAGGAGAAGACTTGCCAGGTTCATTTAAGGAGATAAAAAGGCAAATGTAAAAGATTTGAAGAAAGAGACTAACAGAAGGCTTTTCTTTCCTGGAGCTTAGGAGGCTGAGGGATGACCTAATAGGAAATTATAAAATCATGAGTGGCACAGATAATGTCAAGGTCTTAGGGAATCCAAAACTAGAGGGCTTGGCTTTAAGATGAGCGGGGAAAGATTTAAAAGGGACCTGAGGGGCAACACAGAGGTTGGTGTATTTAGGAACGATCTGCCAGAAGAAGTGGTAGAGGCGTGTACGGTTACATTTAACGGACATTTGGACACATATACAGATAGGAAAGATTGAGAGGGATATCGGCCAAATGCAGGCAAATGGAACTAATTCAGTTTAGGAAACCTGGTCAGCATTGGCGAGTTGGGCCAAAGGGCCTGTTTCCTTGCTCTATACCTCTGTATTTCTATAAGAAGAAATTTAGACTTTATTAAAGTTATTCAGGGTTTCCCACCTTTTGTAGACAAGATGGAAGTTCCGTACTTCTTCATAGATATCAATATTTTCCTGCTTTTCAGCAGATAAAATATAATGCACATTATCTTGTACATTATTAAAAATAAACTTGTATGGTTGCAACCTTAATACAGCTTCCTGCCAATATTATGTTTTAAATTATAAGTGCTCTGATCTTCTTAACTTCTAACTGTCTTCATCTGTCAGTCTCATCCTTCAAATCTTTTACATTTGCCTTTTTGTCTCCTTAAATAAACTTTGCAAATTTTCTGGTCTTTGCTCTGTCTACTGTAGCCAGGCCCCTTGGAGCTCACCATCAATTGTGCTGATGTTCTTTTTGATTATTCTTTTTTATTTCTTTTCTTCACAACCTCGTCTTTGTATCTCTATTTGAAAGTTTTCCCACGTCTGCTGACATGGATGTCTAACTTTATGCCAGAGCTCCCAAGCATTTCCACAGAGCCTTCTTCTCTAAGGAGTCTGGGAGGAATCATATAGGAGTCTGAGCATTGTAGAGTATGGTGAGATTTGTGGTAGAATCAGCTGAGAAGTCTGGCAAGGCCTAATTTGATGTCAAGAGCAACTTGCTGCAAATTTCATGCTTTTCTATTATAGCTGGTTAAATACCTTATTGATGCTCCAACTTGCCTAGTTAATACTCAGCTTCCTACCTTACCAAACGTGTTGTATAAGCTGGATGTCAAGAATCCTTGACATGGAAATCAGAACAGGTACCTCATGATTTAACCTTACTGCTGGCTCTGAATTACCTCCGTGTTGGACACCGGACACCAACATCTCAAGGCAAGTTCCACGGACACTGACCAAACACACCTCACACTTGTAGATGTTGACATTCACATGTGTCAGCCTCTATTAACTCTCATGGCACACCTTTGACCTACTTGTGCTTCTGCATTTCAATACTGTACCTCAGGCTGCACCGGCAACTATCATTGTAATGCTACAGCAGGGACACTATGTGCTTGGGAACACACACCCAGCTCATGGACTGAACCAAGGTTGCATCCCCAGTGTCTTCATTTGCTTGTGCAGCACTCCCTCCTCTGAGCCTGTCTGATTGTTTATTGCTGGGCACTCCTTTAAACAGCAGAGACTGCACTGACCTGGTTGGAACCTCAGACCAAGCTGGGATGGTCTGGTGTTGTGGAGTACACTGCTGATTCTGGGGAAGGAGGACACCCTGTGCCAGCACCATCTGACCGCATCCACCAGGACCTCCAGAGCCCTGCCCGCACAGGCATTTCTCCTTGTCTGCCATGTTCAGGGCAAATGTCAGCAACCATGTGCCATGAGAGTTAATAGAGGCTGACACATGTGAATGTCAACATCTACAAGTGTGAGGTGTGTTTGGTCAGTGTCCATGGAACTTGCCTTGAGATGTTGGTGTCCGGTGTCCAACACGGAGGTATTTCAGGGCTGACAGTACTTGTCTGGGTGCACTGCAATCTTTTCAAGGTCGCGCAGGCACAATGGATTCTGTTCTGCTAATCGATATCCAATAGGTGACGTGTCATTCCGGGAATGACATGTGGTAAAATGGGGCTAGAATCAGATGTGAAAGACACCATGGGAAGGGGGTGGTTAGTTAGTGAGGCCAGTTTGTTAATGTATGCTGAGAAATCTTGCCGGACGTTGTGGCAAGAATCCCACCAAAAACTCATCGTAGCTGACCATGGCAAAAAGAAAAAGTAGGATTTAGCATCTGTTTCTTCCCAATTGCAGCTATTTTTATTCCTCTCCTAACTGACATTGATTTTTTCAGTATCTGTTAACCACTCTGAGGTGAAGGCATTCTTCTGCAGTGCTGCGTTTTTTTCTGTCGTTGCGGTCATGTTTGCTGTTGACTCTTGTTGTATTTAAGCCTTTGACTGACTATCAGTGTCTTCTTAAAGCAGTAACATGATAACCGTGCATGGTTTCAGAAATTTTTTTCTCCTGGGTAAAATGGATGCTCTCCACTATTGCTACAGTTAAGAATAGTGCCCACCACGTTATACTGGGCTCTAGATACCAATTACTGGTGTTATGTGGTGGTGTAATTCAATTCCACCAATCTTTACTTCTGAATATTTTCTAATCTGTTCAGAGATGCTATTACACACTTCAGGAGCAGGTGGAGAGTTGTCTTGCAAAATAAACCATGAATGAGTATTGTCAAGAAGTGGCACTTGTCTTACATAACATGGCCTAGTTTATTACAAGATAGCAATTGGTGTTATTAACATTAACTAGTTAGACATACAGTAATCACAGCTATCAAGTTGGTATATCTGTCCCTGTTGGGACTTTCTGATTCTCTAACTTAAGATTGTATTGCAGCATTAAGTTAGGTGGTGCTTTTTCCAACTTCAATCTTAACTCTTTCAGGACTATTATCTTATAAAACATGAATCAAAAATCTTTGTACTTTTGATTTTTTAGAGGTGTACTGATAACTAAATAACTCTCAACTTAAGGAATACTACAATTAATATTGTCCATTGATAAATCCGGAGGTCAGACAACACTCTTGCATTTAGTACACGTCTACGCAAATAAAGATAGCTCATTCCCCATTTCACCTCGGTCAATTAAAATATAAGCAATCTCATTTTCAATGTGAACCTGTGCATCCTTGCAGCAGTCACATTTTCTTACCTGTGATTCAGGCTTGTACTCAAAACTGTTGATTGTATGATTTTTGTTCTCATAAGTTACAGTGACATTTGAAGGCTGAACGTTTCCCAATCCCCAGACTTGGATATATCCCAATTTCACCTCATTTGCTGTACTCTTCGAATTGTTGCAAACAATTTCAGTTTTCATCCTGTTCTATAATTTGACAAATAAAATATAGAGAATATCAAATGTTACATGACAAATTATGTTGCAAATTTAACTGAAGCCAGATAAGTTAGTGAAGATTAATCAGCTAAGATTCACACAATATAGCATTAAGATAAATCCAGGAAATGAATGTCGAGACTGAATTAGATGGTATGATTGTAGGGCAATAAAAAGCTAAGGAGAGCATAAATAGAAAACCAAAACACTGGGAACTGATTTCTGCACATAAATGACAATATAAATGGAATCATTTGAGTAACTTAATTCATAGTGCAAAGTCTTGTAATTGTGAAGTTCAGGTTAGAAAATTATGGCTACAATGTTGCAACACTATCTCCTTTTCAATGTTTATTGCCAAATGCTGAACAGAAACAGAAAATTGCACAATGAGCACTTTTCTATCATTATGTATGTCTGAAGAGAGTCACAAAATTAAGGTAGCAATTGAAGTGCTAAATCTAAAGAAAATTTGCATTATGTTTAAAATAAAAGAAATCCTAAATTTAAATCGGTGCCAAGGCCAAGACTCATAAGCAAGTAAGCATGAGACAAATCAAAAAGCAACCTTGAGGCAAGATTGTGCCCTGCAAAACAATGACCTTGAGACAAGACACTCAAAGAAAAGGCACATATACAGCATTCAGTCCTTCAATGAATTTAATCACAAAACAGAATTCTTAACAATGAACAAAAGGAGCTTTTTCTTGGACCACAGGTATAGTTCTCTGTGAAAAGTGAACTCTTCTTATTTTTTTCTATATCATTTAAGCCCTTGAATTTATACTGAGGTAGTATGTATAATTACCATGAAATACTTGTTAAAATATCCCGAATTTATTTCTATTTGGATTTGAATATTGTGTTACAATTCTAATTAGAAATTGATACATTACTTTTCTCTACAGTTATATGTAACTAACTACATTTTCTTCAGATAGATTTATTAATACAGTTATTTTTAGGTGAATTAAGTATTTTAATTATCTTATACTATATAATATTGTGACTATTACTACAACAAACTAGTATTGATTCTTTCAAGAAAGTGTTATTAAATCATTATTAAAATGTTCTAGATTCTTATTCAATTTTCAGAACACAGCCAACAAAACATTAATAAAATTATTCTGCAATATTTAAATTAGGATTTTATGTGCTGATATTGATTAATTCAAGTGACTTGTTTCTGCTGTGATATACAGTGATGTAAGGTGTGTGATTTTATACATATTTTAGTATAATTTATCTTAAGTTTGGATTTTGAATTTGAACTAGCAGCATATGTGTTTTCTGTGTGTATGGAAGGATTTAATGATTAATTTGTCAGTATTTCTGTAACCATGATTATTGCAAACAAAGCAAATAGGTTAGTTGGATCAGAATATTGTGCTTGTCTTAAGCTTGGGGGAACATCCACAGCTTGAAAAACATTCAGCTTCAGTTTGGGAGTTAGCTCTTCAGGCATTTTGACTGAAGGTGAATGTGTGAAGCAATTGCTTCTAAGAAAGGGAGAAGATGACTTAGTATTGTTATAAAAATAAATTATCTGAGGGTAAGGAGTTTAGTAGTTGTTCAAGACCCTGGTTTAGTCAAAACCTGCAGTAGTATTTGAATCTAAGAAAATTTAAGTTTGGTTGAATAAAGAGTGCAGGAAGGGGAATTGAAGCCACAGTTAAATTTAAGCAATATAGAGATGATAGAGAAGGTTATGCGCTGTGTGAGTACTGTGAAGGAGATAAATGGGATTATATTTTTACAGTATGTTTCATAATCTTCCAATATGTGTTATATGTAAATAGTTTGTTTATTCTGTCCTATCTTTTGCTCAATAAAATCTTGTTCTCTTGTTATAACCTTTTTCTTGTGAGGGAGGGCAGCTGAGGAAGTTGTGCCAGGACCACCAAGAACTGGGAGTTACAGTGAGAGAGGATACTTAACAGGATGACTCAATTAGTTGATCTGATCTTTCTGAAGGAAAATGTGCTTTTAGGAAAGGGTTGTAGAAGGGGCAGCACGATGGCACAGTAATTAGCACTACTGCCTCATAGTGCCAGGGACCTGCGTTTGATTTCACCCTCAGGTATGGAGTTTTCACATTCTCCCCATGTCTTCTTGGGTTTCCTCTGGGTGGTCTGGTTTCCTCCCACAGTCCAAAGATGTGCAGGTTAGGTGGATTGGCCACTCTAAATTGCCCATAGTGTCCAGGGGTGTGCAGGCTAGGTGGATTAGCTATAGGAAATGTAGGGAAAGGGTAGGGAGTGCTGGGGCGGGGTGGGTTGCTCTTTGGAGGGTCAGTGTGGACCTGATGGGTTGAATGGCCTGCTTTCGCACTGTAGGGATTCTATGATCAGACAGATGAATGATTTCCTCAACCAGATGTACATTACTAGTGTGATTCCATAATAAATTCTGTGTCTTACATGTTTAATTTTAATTTCCCTTCAGGTTTGTCATGATCTGATATCAGCGGAATAAAGAATCCCTGCTTTATTATTTTTGGACCTTCCATGTTAAATTTTTGACAGTCAGCAGGGCTCGACAGAACAGGCATCAAGACATGATGGTTGAGGCTGAAAGGTGTATAGCTAAGATGGAGTGCATTGTGGAGGAGTTGAAGTCAGTGATGTCCATGAGGAAGGCTGAAGCTACTCTATTATCATTGAAGGTTCAGGCATCTGTCAAGGAAAATAGTCATTTGGGCTGATCCTAGGCAGAGGCTCCTGATATGTGTTCCTTCAAGACTATGGAGGAAGGAAGTGGTATTCCTGGTTGCATTTACCTGCCAAAGAGTAGGAAGCCCAGACAACACTATAAACACCCTGTGATCAAATGACTGAGCAGGCAGCATTTATGATTGAACATCAGTGCATAAAAGCCCATCAGGAAATATTGAGAAGATCCTTAAACTACTGTCAAAGGTTTTTGGGGACAGCTGTAGCCTGATACAGCAAACAGAGAAGCTCGTCGAGCATAAGCAAATCAAAGGGGAGGACCTGGTCTCTGTATCCCTAGTGCTGGTGAAGTTGTTTGACTGCATCATTCTCCTGGATCCCTCCTTCAAATTGACCAGGGACAAGGTACCAAAGTAGTACCTATTGGAAACAGGGAGGAAATGGAATTGAGGATTACTAGTGACCAACATCTATTGTCTTTCTTTGAAATACAGGATCCCACTGTCTGGACCATGGAGAACAATTGGACTTCTATGTTCAGGAAAGAAACTACTATCAGGGAGGTGGCAATTGACATGGACAGGGATGTAAACCTCGTATTTGAAGAGGCAGGCAGAGCAGACTGGTGCTCAGTCAGCACAGATCCAGTCCTTGTTGGCCTATCTCCACAATAAGCCTCACAGTTGAAGCACTGCTGCAAAGATGTATCACAATTGTGGTGGGGCTGGGCACTTCAAATGAACCTGCCTTTAACAACAAAGACCTTTACTGCTAACAGATGCAGACCTGTCATCCACTTCCATTCTTGCCAAATTGGACTTCCCACAGAGAGCCAGGTGGAGTAGTGGAGAGCTCCTTCAGCAAGAGGCTCAGACTTGTGTAGAGAAATAGAGACTTTCCCTGCAGTGAAGTGTTGTGCCTAACTGACAGAAGATTGGAACTGTCACCACTGGTCATCAGTTTTTCCACAAGCATCTCGTTGAGCAATGAGAGCTGATTGAGGTGTCTTCCCTTATCTAGCCTCTACTTGGCAGGGATAAGCTATGCCCTCTCACAGCTACATCAAGCTCTTCCACTTATCCCTCAGTCATACTTACCACAGCCCAGGGTTTCTATTAGCTTTTGACCTGATTGACATTGCACTGGAAGTAAGGAAGTTGAGAACCTCATGGTGTTGAGGTTGAATGTGCTAAGAAATATCTGACCATCCTTGGAAACCATGCATTGTGGGGGGAATCTTTAAACTTGCTCTGCACACTCAAGTATATCTCTTTCACTGGGGTCCCAGAACTGTTTAAGCAGCAGGAAATCAGGCTGATCTTATATCAGCCTACCCAATCACTGTTCTTGAAAGCTCATGCCAGCCAACTGGCTGACATTGGGCTTTGCTATGCCATCACATGTAGCAAAGCTACCCACTTGGTGTACCTCTGGGAGCTTCCTTCATCACTGTGAGTGGAATCAGTAGAGGGCCAACTTCAGTGACAAAGGTATTTACCTCCAATTAAGAACAGACACGGTCTTTAAAGCTGCTAATATCATTGCCAGTGAATCAACTGGGGGGAACATCTTTAACCTCATTTACAAGGTGGACTTTAGTGAGTTGTAGATGACCCAGAGGAGATAGCTTGTTTCTACTCTCACCAAGGACAGCACATCTTTCAGTGAAAATGATGATGAGTAAAGATGACATTGGGTATGTCATCTGGTAAGCCACAGGATTTTGACTAAAGATGATCATCCACATCTGTGTAAAGAGGACTCGGACTACTTGCAAAAATCTTTGGAGAGAGGTAAGTTCATTCACCTCCCCTTTAGGCCTTATGAAGAAGAAACATGGAAAACAGAGGATCTGTGTCCATTTTTGGACATGCAACAGCAGTGTCCATAAGGATGTTTTCCTTCAACTCTGGGACTGAGGGAGCATGACAAGTTTTCAAAGGTACAAAGTATTTCTGCAGTCGTGATTTAACCTATTCTTATAACCCATTACTGAACAAGACATTGAAGAGGCAGCATTCCAAACAGGCACAGGGAAACTTTATGAATATCCATGATGCTGTTAGGTGTCTGAAATGATCTTGCTATGTTCATGCATGTGATGAATGAAATTTTGACCAATGTTCAGTCCCTTGTTGTATTATGAACAAAATATTCATCTTTGGCTCAACATTTGAGGAGATCCTTAAAAGACTAAACACTATCTTAGATTGCTTTTGCAGGTTAACTTGAAAATTAAACCAGAGAAGTGCAGATTGTTTCATACCAAATAGTGTACCTTGTACACTTTGTTGCCAAGGAAGACAATATTGCTGGAAATAAGAAAATCCAAGTGGTAGAGGAATGGCTTTGGCCTGAGATAGGGAGGGAAGTGTATGGTTTTCTTGGTCTAGCAGGTTAGGAGGTTTGTGCAGGGCTCTGAGCAGTTGACTGACCAATTGCATGACTTGCTGAGAAAATCAGTGAATGTTGATGGAGTAGTTGGGAACGGATACACAACGTACAATACTTTATGGAGTTTCACTGGAAGCCGAATTCCAACACATGAAAACGCCTTCTACGCTGTGAAGCAAAAGCTTTTCTCACCACTTGTCTTTGCCTTCCATATTTCCATCTCGTTTTTATGCCAGAAACGAACAGCAGTTCCTTTGGGCTAAGGATGGTGCTGTCACAGGTTCATGATCAACTGTGTCAATGCAATATCACCATATATTCTATCAGGTGAAAAACAACTACGCTCAGTAACTCTTGGGGAAAATGAACAATATGTGAGCAATAATTTTTGGAACCATTTTTAAATAAAATTACCAGATGGCAAATCATGCAAGGCACATGCTCTGTCTACCATTATACAACTCCAGTGGACAGGGTTTTTGGCTAAGAGGGCAGCTTTTTAAAATAGAAATTCCTGTGACATAGACATTTCAATTCTATTTCAGTCTATTGAAATACCTTTGGGAGTTTTGAAGGGCAGAGCTTATCAGCATACCTTATCAGCAGCAAATTTAGCCAGGAAGTATTCCTTTCTTTCAACTGTGTCTGCAAGGTAGAATTGAAATAAAGTGTCAATAAATACGTCAATTGAATTTCAGACTTTTGTGAGGATTTTGTATGGCAATTGGTGCTGATAACTTATTTTCTTTATGGGTTTGAAAGATTCTAATAAGTTACAAAGGTCTTTGGCATGACTGAAACAACATCAATAATACATTTCTGGTACACTGTGTATTATATCTAAACAATGATGGTGAGCTACTGCCCTTTTCTCACAAGCATGATGGATCCATTACTCACAAGCATGATAGCTATGAGTGAATTATGATGACTTTCCACCAGTGAAGGTGTAACTAGAAGCACGGATGCATCTTACAGGAATAAAATGTAACTGACATTCTAATGCAGTTTTACAATAATTGTAGAATGGAATACATTGTTGCTAAACCTGGTTAAATGTACATGTCAATGAGGTCAAACTATACAATGATAATGAACAAATGAAAACCTCCTACTAATTGCATTCTCATCATTCTGTTGCCCACATATGATTTTGACAGATTCCCTTATGCATGAGGCATTCTTTCTTAAACAGATCTTGGAACAGGCTCAGGAGTTGTTCTGGATCAGGTTGGGGGGGATGTGGGTGTCAGGGAAGGTTTCTAGCTCATAAAGAGATCAAAATCATGATTTAAAGGTGTTCCAAGAACAACCAAAAAGAAAAAGGTAGTAAAACTGATGAATAAGACTCTTCCTCTATACTTCAAAGTGGAGGTCTAGTGCAGCCCGTTCATTTCAAAGAGTTACTGTTACTCACCTCTGGACAGAGTGTTTTTGGGAAGGGGTGGTGAGGTGCTCTGGTGGAGGGAGTTAAGGTCGAAGGGTTCTTTGGGAGGCGTCTACTGATGGTCATGCAGGAGCAGAAAGCTAACACGGAGGACAAGTGAGAATGTGGTTGCTGACTCTAAAGGAAATACCACTGTTCCTTTTGGCATATTAGCAATACCATGAAAGCACTTATCTCAGAGATCTAGGCCGACTGGCCTCCTTGAAGCTATATATTTTCCCATGATTGGAAACCCAGCCACCTGCGGTAAAAATTGTGTCTCTTCTAAAATTATGTTATGGAGCCTAATTGTGACAGCTTAAGTTACTATTCCAATCCTCATGAGTAGCTGTTTGCCTTGCCTTCATCCATCCTCTGTTAAACCTGAAAGTGAGCTGTCTCAATGTGACTGCTGTTCCATTTCCAGATGTTTTGGTTCATAATTTCTAAAATGACCCTACCCCAGTGGTTTTTAGGACTTAAGATACAGCCCATAATGTTCAACGGTTTCTGCATATTGTAGATTATGCTGATACAGTGAAACAAGAGAAACACTACAGCAAAGTTAAACATTGAGGCAGCAAGAACTGCAGATGCTGGAGTCAGAGATAACACAGTGTGGAGCTGGAGGAACACAGCAGGCCAGGCAGCATCAGAGGAGCAGGAAAGCTGACATTTCTGAAGAAGGGTCCCGTCACTAAACGTCAGTTTTCCTGCTATTCTGATGCTGCCTGGCCTGCTGTGTTCCTCCAGCTCCACACTGTATT